ATAATCTTTCAATCTACATGGCATTCAAAAGCCCGGTGTTGGCACGAAAGTAAAACTAGACAAATTTTTCTCTCAAATACCTAAGAATCCACTTCACTGCCGTGCAATAATGCTTTCCTAGATTTCCCATCTATCTGTTGATCACTCTCACTCATATGGAATATTTGGTATTGTACAAATCATAACGTACATCTGACTTTTGACTGATAAAGCATACAAAATTCTCCCTATATATGTTGGCTTTGTTTCTAACTTAGGTGATAGCTTCTTAGATAGCTTGAAGTGAGTATCGAAGGAACCGCAAACTGGCTTTGTCTCACTCATATTGAACCTCTGGAGGATCTACTCAACATATTCTATTTGATATAATTTCAGTATACCTGCACATTTGTCTCTATTGATTTTCATCCAAAGGATTTTTCTGATTGGACCTATATCATTCATATTAAACTCACTTGATAATTGTTACTTAAAGTCCTTGATTTTCTCCATATTTGCCCCTATAAGCAACATGTCATCCACATACAAAAGGTACAAGATATAATAATTATTAAAGTTTTTATTGAATCAACAATAGTCTGCCTAACACTTCATGCATCCACTGCCACACATGAACCTATCAAATCTCTTATACCACTATCTTTGGGGCCATAAAGGCTCTTTTTCAACATGCAGATCAAACCTTCTTTTCCTGGAACTTTATAACCCTGCGGTTGCATTTATATATAATTCCTTCTTCAGGTTTCCATGTAAGAAAGTTGCGTTTACATCCATCTACTATAAATGTAGATCTTCTTTCAATACCATACTCAACACAACTCCGACAATTTTCATCTTCACCATCGAAGCAAAAAAATATGTGTGTAATCCACTAATTTCTTTTATTGGAACCCCTTTACAATCAGTCTTACCTTGTAGCGCCTACTACCATTTAACATCTCTTTCAGCATGTAGACTCACTTGTTGTGTAGTACTCTTTTATCATCTAATAATACTGCTAAGTCCCAATTCCAATTTAACTCCAAAGACTACATCTCATCATCCTTGGAAAATTCTCACTTCCTTAAATCTTTGACTTTAGTGGCCTTATTAAAGCACTATGGTTCACCATTTTCAGTTAAAAGCAAACCGTAACGAAGGAGAATATGTGTGTATCAGTCATATTACTCAGTTGGACCTCCTGAATTTAGTAGTATGTGTTAGGAACTTTAGATGCTTCAATTTGTTGAGCACTTCTTCTTTCTCTACTCTCTTGATCACAATTGTCTTTTATGTTTACATAGAATTTTCAAATGTAACTCATGAAAAATCTATAGTTTTGTTTATGTCCTCGTACTTCTTCATTTCATTGAATGTGACAACCCGCTCCTGATAAACTTTTAATTTTGATAGTCTATGAACTTGTACCCAAACTAATCTAAGTCAAATCCAATGAAGGTGCTCTTGATAGATTTCAAGTCAAGCTTATTTCTGGACCCTGCACAAACTTGTACATATGCAAAACACCCAAAACCTTTTAAGTTAAATAGGTTTAACTTCATGTCAATCCGGACTTCTTCTGATAAGCCTTTCTTCAAAGGTATTGATAGAACATGGTTAATTGATAAATAGCAACATTAACTACTTCAGCCCAAAACTATTTTGGCAAGCCTGCGTCCAGTCTCATGTTGTTAGCACGCTCTATGATTGTTCTATTCATGGTCTGAGTTACACCATTCTATTGTAGAGTTCTTGGGAAAGATAGCTCATGCCTTTTCTTCTATGTAGTAGTTAAATTCTTGAACTTCTCACCCTCATTATATGATATGAGTCAATTCAGCTTCAATTATGTCTCAATTTCTACCATAGCCTTCCACTTCTTAAACACTTTAAATATGCTAAATTTTTTATTTAGACTCATACCTTTTTGATGTGATCTTCAATAAATGTGGAAAAGTAGTAGGAATCTATAATGGATTAAATTGGAGTAGGATCCCACACATCAATATGCAGTAACTCGAAGTTCTTTGACTTCACTGCTAACCCACTTTTAGAAAAAAAAAATTTCTTTTGCTTGCCTTTTATACAATCTTCACAAAAATTCAAATTTAGTGATTTTGAAATAGTGAAATTTATTTTCTGAAAAATAGTGACTTCATTCCTTTCATGCTCATATGGCCAAGCATGTGGTGCTACAAGCCTACTTCCATCTTAATTCTAGTCACATTAATGAAATCTACCATTTAATTGATTAGATAAATAGTGCTTTCAATGTTTCTTTGAGCCATCACAATTGACCCCTAGTCATGTTCAACGAGTCACCTATGAAAGTATTCACAAACCCTAAATTTATTATGTCGCAAATTAGATTTCTCTTCAGAGTTGGAACAAGTCTGGCATTAATAGGCTTCCAGAATATTATATTTGACAGCTTGATATTTACATCACTCTTTTCTACGATATTACAGGCCTTATTCTCTGCCTGAAAAAATCATCCCTAAATCACTCTAAGAGGCACATGAATCTACCATCTAAAATTCAATGCTAACTAAGGAAAACATTAGGGAGCACCTTAGATTGAATTATGGGTGTATTTATAGAGAGATCCATTTTTTGTTCTTCACCACTAGCTATCTCTAGAACCTTACAATCCTTCTTGAACTACTGTTTCATTCCGTAAGTCTAGCAATTTCTTATATTGTTTCCTCTATTTGAACTGAAATTTTCCTTTTTGGACTTGAACCTGTCTCTGCTTGTATTCATGTACAAATCCCTTCCTCTATTTTTCAGCATACAATGAATAATTTGAAGATCACCATTCACTGATTTTCTGCATACTTTTTCATTCAACACCAATCCCACGACGTCATCAAAATTCAACTTCATATTCCTGCAAGAGTCACTCTCATAATCAAACCATCTCAATTGTTCGACAATAAGGACAAAGTTAGCAATGCTTTAATCTCATCATCAAATTTGATCCCTACAGAAACAACTGGCTCTTTATAGTGTTGAAGTTATTTAGATATTCTATCAATAAACTTCCTTTCATCATCTTCAAGTTAAATAATCCTTTCATAAAAAAAAATTAAATGAAGCAGGAAATTTTTCGTACATTTTGTCAGTGCCGCCATAAGATCCACTGTAATTTTCTCATTCATTATAATGAATGCAATTGATGACGAAAGTGACAAACGGATTAAACCTAGGACCGTTCGATCCAACACTTTATATTCATCCATAATTGTAGACTCAATCTTTGTAGTAGTTTCATTCAATGGTAGATATAGTTTTTTTTAATACAATAAATCCTCCACTTATATCCTCAAGAACGCAAAGTTTGACCAATTAAACTTCTCCAATTTGCACCTTGATTCATAAGTCATTGCTCCAACTCGAATCAAAGAACCTCCACCCCGATACCACTTATTGGGATGAAATACTAAATATACTTTTAGGGTTTCAATTAATTAGAAAAAAAAACCACACCAAAGAATAAGATCATACAAATTTAAGAAATTCGGAACAAAAATTGAACATATGCACAATAAAATAGCTCCAGAAAAAAATACACAGATTTAACTTGAAAAAACCCGAGAATGGGAAAAACCCATGGAGCCATACCTCTAGTAAATGTCAAATATGAAAAATAAAAAATGTACAAAAGTAATCACATAAACATACTTTCTACAATCAATGAAACTTACATGACCTTGATCCAAACCCTTTCTCTAGATCTCACAAGAGAAATTGAAAACTGAAATCCTTTTCCTAACATGCATGGGGGTTTGTAAACTTAATTGCTTAAATCTAAAGCTTTAAATCGAATCGGAAGAGAGAACCACACCTGGCACTCCTGCGCCACTCCTAAATATGGGAGTGTTGCTCTCTTGAACCGGGCCATACGCTCCTGAAATGCTTCATGAGAGTGCTATAAACCCCGACGTGGGTGTGTCGTGCTCTCTGCCTGCAGATGTTGTGGTTTCATCCAAACGCGGGTGCACTATGCTTGAATCCCTCTTGGGATCTCTCTGTTGCTTCCTATCAGGCTCCATACACAACACTAGATACACCGTCTCTAACAACCCAATACCAGAATTGTTGTGTGCTTGATTGGGAATTGAAGGTGATATGAGAAGAAGCACAGAATTGATCAAGGTTTTGGATCCCATAACCCTCCCTATTCTTTCTTTGATTTTATAATAGCATATATTAAGCCACATGCTTTCATTCTCATAAAAATTGACACAATATTCTCTCTAAAGTATTCACTCTCAGCTTAAATCAATTAGCTAATGCTCTTTCTTTAACTGATATAGCATAATAACATAATTCTGTTTTCTATTCCATAAAAGAAAATCCTTTAGCTCTCAATCTGTATATATGTTTGTTTAAAAGTAAGAATATTGAAATCAACATAGCCCACCCCAGTTTCCAATATTTTTCTTTTTTTTTTTTTTGGCTTTGTCCAGTTTTTTACTGAACCGGCTTCACCTCTGCTCACCACCAGCAGAGAGGAGGACTTTCTTAGCTTCATTTAACATGAATTATGGTTGGCCATCTCCAAGCAGTACAATTAATGGCACAATTGATTCCTTCAGAACTGTACAGAAGTATGTCCTCACACATAGATCTCCAATAATAAACAATCTAACAAAGTCATTCTAATCCATCATATCCGTTATGTTTTTCCCATAAATACCAATTTGAAGCTCAGTTATCATTCACTTACTCTTACAACCCCTTCTCCTTCATGTCTTCTTCCTTTTTTACTTTCTGCAGGATTATGTTCACATTTGTATAAAGATTTGAATCGAAACTTCAACACAAAAAAAGGGAAAACATTCACAAACCATGAATTATGCAGATAAGTCCCTTCTCACTTAACTCTTTACATAATCATAACATACAAATAACACTATGCAAAATGTTTATCAAACAAGATTAAATTAGAAAAAAACAGAACCAGAAGACCCAGCATAAAGCATAAAATATAAATCATTACTATAAGATTGAAGCACCTGAAGATTTCCCATGAGGTGTTCATGCCGGGTTCTAGCGGTGGAAACCCATCCCTTGCAAGACAACTCCGGTAAACCGGACCGACAGATGGCTGTCCGTTCTTCCCAGCTCTCCCACTCTCCACCTGAACTGTATATCTGTTCATCTTTCTGCTTCGGATCTCTGTAACCAAAGTAAGACTCTCCCACTCTCCACCTGAACTGTATATCTGTTCATTTTTCTGCTTCGGATCTCTGTAACCAAAGTAAGACAAGTTGAAGATTGTGGAGGGAATTATAAGCTCTTTAAAATAAATAAATAAATAATATCATTACTTGCCATTAAATGCATTCAGTTTGCCGTTGGGATTGCATCAATAAAGTAAATTCAGAATATTTTTTTTTCTTCTTGCTTAAACTATTTGGGAGATAAAGATGATGATGTCGCCATTAAAAAGCACCTCTGAGAAAGCGAAGTTCATTGATGGCATTAATTTTATGGACTCCATTAGGATCTGCGTTTTTTGTTTTATTTTTTATTTTTTTTATTATTTTTAGAAAGTGGTAGAACCCAATTCATAAATGCAGCTGTACTTTGAAATGTCATAAAATATTACACCTCGGAATTTGCATTATGAGAGCTTTGGATTAAAAATTTTAAAAAAATGTAATTTTTTTTTTCTTATCTGTGATGCTAATTATGAATTACAGAATTTGAACTAATTGCTGTAAGAGTTAAGAAATTCTTATTGGAATTGTCCCTGCATGGAGATGATGCCATTGATGAAGATTTAAGTTCTATTAAAAGAGCTCAAAGTCTCATCTTTTTCCAACGAGTTCCTGCCATTGCTCACATAATTTCATAAAGGATTCCACTAAAAATTTTTATTTTTCTCGCCAAAGAAACCTATTAAACTAAATAAATTACAAGAATCTTAATTTTTAAGGCATTCCCAAAGTCCATAGAAAAAAACGAAGAATCAGAAGGGTCGCCATTAAACAAGTTAAAATAGAACTCTTATGGATGCAAAGAAGTTTCTCCCAACAAAAAGTATAGTAATAATAGATTGAAGGAGAAAAAGAAGAACTTTTTGACTTAGAAATAAAGAGAGAAAAGAAAGTTCATAACCTCGGGTTAGGGCTCCAAAAGACCCGAGCGTTTTACAAGCTATTTGTAACTCGACTTGATAAAAATTCGTTCACAATCATTTGATTAGCTAATTGAATAATTCTTAGAATTTTTATACATGCTTGATTGTAAAATAAAAAGGCTTGAATACCATTTTGTTCGATTTGTTTATGTTCATGATAAATATCAATTAGAGCTCGCGAACAAACTCTTTAAGATGTCAACGGTTTCATTTAAAGTTCATATATAAGATGGATTTAATGTTTATATATAAAATAGATTAAAGCTTAATATAAACTTTTGAATAAGCTCAATTAAAACTTAATTTAAATTTTATTCATATTAAATAAAATTAAATTTTAATTTATAGGACAAAAACAATAGAAAGACTTATTTATTTAGCTATTCCATTATTATATATATATATATATATATATACATACATACATACATACACACACACACACTTATTTTAGCTATTCATTTAAAAACACATCTATTTTTAGATGTTCAACAAGTAACTATCTATAAGCTCGATAAAACTTATTTGATTAGAAAATAAATAACTAAGTCATACTATTCATTATTTTGTTTGATAAATCTTATTGATTAGAAAGTAAATAACTAAACCATACTATTCATTTTTTTGTTCGATAAATCTTATTTATTTATAAAATAAATAACACAAAAACATTAACTTTAATTAGTTCAGCAAAGTTTGTTTAGACATAAATTTTGTGGTTGAATAATTTACTCATTAGTCTGTTCAACAATAACTTAATTATTATCATATTAAACGAACAAAAACTAAACTCCAATTGGAACTAAATTTGAACATAAACAAGCTCGAAGCTCGAACACAGCCCCGAAAGCTCGATTTGAGCTCGAGCTAGACTCCAGGATGGATTTTATAAACAAACTCAAACTTAAACAACTCAGGCTATTGAATCAAAAATTAACAATGCACTGCAATGCACAAAAGCCAGTCACTGTGGCAATGGGACTTTGACTGTTATATATTCTGGTAGCAACCAATGGCAGCAGAAACAGCATTTAATTCCTTGCATGAATGTGAAGAAACGGAGCATTGAATGTTAAAGCTACAGAGGAAAGTGGCAGCGAGCGGAACAGAAGAGGAAGAAGAAACTGTGTACAAGGTTTTGTTGTTTCTCATAACAGTGTAGAAACTTAATTGGTCTGGTTGGGAATTTATTACAATTCGGTATCTTCGTTTGTTAAGGGGTTGGAATTGAAAGCAAATGTTATTAAATAAATGTTTGTTTTTTGGAAATAAATCATGTGCATTTTGCAAGTTTTAATGAACGTCCAACAAACTAGCTGTAAATTTATGATGGGGGCTGGCTGTTTAAGAGAAGGCTCACTTTTAATTTTTTAATTTTTTAAATTTTTTATTTTTTTGTGGATAAATTTAATTGCAAATTTATGTAACTAAAGCATTTGCAGGCCCTCAAATAGAAAACCAAAGTACCAATTGATTGGGACTTAAATGTCACGGACAAAAAGTCTCCACATCGGCTAGGTGTAGAGCCGAAAAGCAGTATCTAAGTCCTGGTCTGCCCACAAAAAGCAGTATTTAAGTCCTGGTCTGCCCACCACCCCTAAGAACTCTTTTGGGAGGTAACAAGTGGTATCAGAGCAGATTACTGTCTACTAGATGTATGGACTCTCCATGATCTAGTGGGACCCTCGGTGGAGCCGATCCGTGACGAGAGCGTCACGTGATTGATTGGGTGGGATTGGGTGGAGGAGAATGTCACGGACAAAAAGTCCTACATCGGCTAGATGTAGGGCCAAAAAATAGTATTTAAGTCCTGGGCTGTATATCACCTCTAAGAACTCTTTTGGGAGGTGACATCGGGCTGCCCACCACCCCGAAGAGGTCTTTCGGGAGGTGAGTTTGTCACCTCCCAAAAGAGCTCTTAAGGTGGTGGGGAGCCCAAGACTAAATACTGCTTTTCGGCCTTGCACCCAGCCAATGTGAGACTTTTTGACCATGACATTCTCCTCCACCCAATCACGTGACGCCCTCGTCACGGATCGGCTCCTCTGAGGGTCTCACTGGACCATGGAGAGTCCACATACCTGGCAGACAGTAATCTGCTCTGATACCACTTGTCACCTCCCAAAAAAGCTCTTCAGGGTGGTGGGCAGCCCAGGATTTAAATACTGTTTTTCAGTCCTACACCTAGCCGATGTGGAATTTTTTGTCCGTAACATTCTCCTCCACCCAATCACGTGACACCCTCGTCACGAATCGGCTCCACCAAGAGTCCCACTGGACCATGGAGAGTCCACACTCTTGGCAGGTAATAATCACGTGACGCCCTCGTCATGGAGAGTCCACACACTTGACAAGTGGTATCAGAGCCGATTACTGTAAATGTCACGGACAAAAAGTCCCACATCGGCTAGGTGTAGGGCCGAAAAGCAGTATTTAAATCATGATGTCACCTTCTAAAAGAACTCTTAGGGGTGGTGGGCAGCCCAAGACTTAAATACTGCTTTTCGGCCCTACATTTAGCTGATGTGGGACTTTTTATGCGTGACATTCTCCTCCACCCAATCACGTGACGCCCTCGTCACGGATACCGAGGGTCCCACTGGACCATGGAGAGTCCACACACCTGGCAGGCAGTAATCTGCTCTGATACCACTTGTCACCTCCCAAAATAGCTCTTAGGAGTGGTGGGCAGCCCAAGACTTAAAAACTGCTCTTTGGCTCTACACCTAGCTGATGTGGGAATTTTTGTCCGTGACATAAAGCTCCCAACTAACAAGTGGGCTAATTACGGTTTATTGGTGGAATACTTTTTTTTCTCTTTTTTGTTCTGTTGTATCCACCAAATAACTTGAAATATTTCTATCTAAATGATCGTATACTGCATTTAAAGAAAAATATATCATGGAGAGAAGAATAAATATTACTTTAAAATAAATCTAATCATTCAGATGACAATGATTGTAAGGATTTATGAGTTTACATAAACCAAGAGTTTTTCCTCTACCTTATGGGTATAAGAAATGATTTGTATTATTTTGGTATTTAGTATTCGCATAAGGAAAAATTCTCATATTAAATTATGTTTCTAGAGCTATAAACACTAAAGAGAACTTTCAATTAAAATATTGTCTTATATTATTCAGATTGCAAAGTTATGCTTTCAAATGATGATGGATAGATCCAAGTTTAGATTTTCCTTAGCAGGGATTGAGTTGTTGTGACTTATAATCCAATGATGATGGCTTAGAAAAAGGGATTTGAGCATTCTATGGTGGAGGTTTTACCTAGAAGAATCATATTTATTGATCGTTGAAGACTTTTGAGTCGAGATCACAGTAGAATCAAAAGAGAAAAGGGTTGGATGTGTTTGGTTAGAAGGGTTGATTGGTAAAGGTTAGGTTTGGGGATTTGAATTTAAAATATTATTCCTTAGTTATTTGAGTTGGAATGATCCCTAAGTAAGGGGATAGAGTTGAGTGAAAAAGATTTTTGGATGGATGTTAAAACCTCTAAATTTGATAAGTTTAAATCTATAAAGAGTCCAAATAAGTAGACTGATACAACTAAAATATATAGTATTTTTGTACACATTTTTATTTTTATTCTTGAGGTAATGCACTTTAATGAAAGTTATTTGTGTGTTTCTCTTGTAGGTACAATCAAATGGATGAAAAATGCTAAAAGGAGTGAAAAAAAGGTCAAATTTAGAGCCAAAATGAAGAAAGGAGCAAAAATGAACTGGAGCGCCAAAGCGCCCGGGATTGATGCATAACCGCCAGAGCATGCTCTTAAGCACCAAAGTTAGTTTCTTGAAGATTTATTTAATTGGAGCGAATTTTTGAAGAGCTGTTTCTAGCAACCCTTGATAAAAACATGGGAAATAGCCCATGTACACGCAAATTCATTCAATTGACTTTTGAGGAGAGACAACTTCTAGAAGATTCATTGAATGAAGACACCTTTTTGAAGAGACACCAAGGCACCCCTTGAATTTTTATAAGAAAATACTTAGATTTTCCAAGAAGAGGGGCCAACAAACATCCTC